GTAGAATTTTATTCAGAAATATTAGAGTTTATCTCTTTTATTTTAGTGAGAGTGATTCTCCTAAGTTCTTGAGTGATTCAAGAACCTTTGGCTGTATCAAAGGACTTTCACATCCTTTGTGTGTTGTCTTCCTTGGAAAGAGTGATTCTTTCCTTCCACCTTCTTTCTAATTCCTAAATTTCTTACAAGGTTCTAACCTTAAAGATCCTAAATCACCCCTTGTGATTCATATCACTTCTGCTTTTGTCTAACCCAATGCAGGAAATCCAAGATTGGAATCCTGACTTGGGTGGGTGACTCAGCATTGGATTCCTGACTTGTGTGCATTAGAAAGGCATGGGAATCTTGACTTGGGTGGGTGACTTACCATTGGATTTCTGACTTGTGTATGTTAGAAATTATATTGGAAGGTGTTGTTTTGGGAAATTAAAAAAAAATTATTAATTATGTAAAAAAGTCGCAAAATAACTAATCATAATTTAAAATAATTGATTATTTTAAAATTATAATCGATTAGTTTAGCTTATAATCGATTATAAATAGTTGCAGGTTTCCTCGCTCAAGTGATGGATTTCTCGTTTGAGCGAGAGTTGACCACAGACTAAAGGTCCAACGCAGTTAGCCACATAATGTAACTTGGATCACCATATATTTCAATCACTTCTCGCTCAAGCGAGAAATCCATCGCTTGAGCGAAATAAAACTCGACAATACTCATTAGTTGCAGGTCTTCTCGCTCAAGCGATGAATTTCTCGCTTGAGCGAGAGTTGACCACAGACTAAAACTCTAACGCAGTTAGCCACATAATACAACTTGGGTCACCATATATTTCAATTACTTCTCACTCGAGCGAAATTACCCATCGCTTGAGCAAAAAAATACCTGAGATTACCCATTAGTTTTAGGTCTCCTCGCTCAAGCGAAGGGTTTCTCGCTTGAGCGAGAGAGAAATAATCGATCATAATTTTAAATATTCGATTATTTTAAAATTATGATTGATTAGTTTAAATTATAATCGATTATAAATTCCCTTGCTCAAGCGATGGATTTCTCGCTTGAGCGAGAATTGACCACAGACTAAAGGTCCAACGGAGTTAGCCAATCACTTCTTGCTTGAGCGAAATTACCCATCGCTTGAGCGAGAATTGATCACAGGCTAAAGGTCCAACGCAATTAGCCACATAATGCAACTTGGGTCACCACATATTTCAATCACTTCTTGCTCGAGCGAAATTATCTATCGCTTGAGCGAAAAAATACCCAAGATTACTCATTAGTTTCAGGTCTTCTCGCTCAAGTGAAGGGTTTCTCGCTTGAGCGAGAGAACTTCTCGCTCGAGCGAGAATTACATCGCTTGAGTAAAATTAAACCCCACAATACCCATTAGTTCCAGGTCTCCTCGCTCAAACGATGAATTTCTCGCTTGAGCGAAAGTACCGTGAACAGTAAAAAGTACTAACTGGGTAAATAATGTTCCAAATGTGCTATTTTGGGAAATATTTTTTAAAATAATATTATTTATGAAAAAAAGTCTTTTAAGTATACCTTTTCAAATAATAAGTAAATCAATTAGGAAAAACAAAAGTGAATCAAAAATGTGCACAAGAAGAAAAAAGAAAAAATTTACTTGTTAATAATATCTAGAAAAAGATTAACAAAGACGTTTATCCAATTTTCACAACTCATAATTTAAAATAAACCATTTAAAACAAATTATCATTTTAAAATATATTTTTTACTAACTTATATTTCTTTAATTTTTTATCTTTTTCACTCTTGTTTTATTTTATTTGTAAAATAATATTTTAGATCAAGAAATATGTTAATAAAATTTTAGATATGAATTTGTTTACACTATCATGAAGTAAAAAACTAGTTTAGATATGAATTTTAAAGTAATTCTGAGAGCCTTCATTTTGAATTGATACGAAACATTGTTAAGACAAAAAAATGTTTTTTAAAAAAGCTTAAGATTAATTTTGTCAAAAAGTAATTATTCTGGTATTTTTTTTAAAAACAAAAACCCTTTTTAAATCAATTAATCGAATTACTAGCTAAAAAGTAACCAATTCAATTTTAAAATATAGATTTATATTTTAATTTTTAAATATAATTTATTTTGAATTATGACTTTAATTTAATCATTCTTTGGCACAACCTGTTACAACAAGACCACACCTCATTATAGAACCTGTTTGAATCAATTTAGAGTCTTCTATGTCCTTTTTTAATTTTTCATTAAAAAAATATTGTTTAAAATTAAATTATTTATTACATAGAAAGTATACAAATAAATACATTATTTAATTAATTAATAACTTATTTATATTTAAATGTATGTTTTTATATATTATTTACATGTTAATAAATAAATAAATATTTACAGTAATTTTTATTTTCATTTTTAATAAATTTCTATATATGATTATTAAAATATAATTTGATTGTATATATAAAGATTAAATTATATTTCATTATAATATTAAAAATTAAATTTTATATAAAATAATAATATATAAGAAATTAATTTAAAATTAAAATAATTATGAGAGATTAAAATTATTTTAAAGTATTTTATTTAATTTATTTAAATTTTAAGATAATTAAAATTTATAAATTTTATAAAATTAAATTAACTATAGCAGAATAATATTGGAAAATATTAGGACTTGTTTTTTTTTTAATTTAAAAACTGTGTTAAGAAATTATTTTTAAAAATAACTTAAAAATGTTTTAATAAATTTATCTTTAAAAAATATTTTAGACAAAAAATTATACATATTAATCATAAAATATAACAATTAAAGTTAAAAAATAATATTAATAATTTTATAATAATTGAAACAACGTAATTATAAATAAAATTAATATTAATAAAAATAGAAATTAAATTAGAAAACAGTTTTTTTTTTAAAACTAATAAATAAAAATAATTTTTTTGAAGTTATTTTAATGAAAATAATTATCAAATAACTTTTTATTTTTATTTTTAAAAATAATAAGAAAAAGAAAACGATTTTTAAACAGTCAGAAAATTTTCACTCCTTTCAATCACATTCCGCACACTGTCTCCAACCAATCAAACAAAACCAGATAATCTATCTGCCTTCACTGGATTGATTGTTTCACTGTTTCGCCATTCCAAGATACCATCTGCATTCTGTATCACTCTTTCTTCTTCAATGGCAGCAACCTCAACTTCACTCTTCTCCTCCCATCTCCATTTTCTCAACTCTCAACCTTTCTCTTCCACACACTCCTTCTTCCAGAGTGTCCATTCTACCCTCTCCTTCCCTCCTTCTAAACCTTCTCGTGGCGTTGTCGCCATGGCTGGCTCTGGCAAGGTCCTAGGCTTTTTATTTATTTATTTATTTTTTCTAATCAAATTTACTTTCGATCATTGACATACTTAAGTCATTGTTATATTGCTGAGGAATGTAGTTCTGCGAAATGGGTTGCGTTTATTTGTTCCTAGTCACTGCCATTCTTGTTTTACTATGTATAATTCAATACTTATTGTATTATGTTTCAAGTTTTTTTTAGTTAGAAGTTATTTAATTCTGACATTGTGGTCATTGGTTTTCACTGTATGTATATTTATTGATTTTTTTTTCCTTCCTTTCGGTGTGGTTGCAGTTCTTTGTTGGTGGCAACTGGAAGTGTGTAAGTGTCTTACCCCGATGTGCTTTTCCTTTTTATACCTGTTTTCTTTTTGGTTGAAAGGGGTTTTTTGTTGTTCATTTGTAATTGTAATGCTTCGCGTGAAGCTTATTTATTATTTTATGTTATGTCAACATAAAATTCTTTCTCATGATTGATCCATGATTGGGGTTTTGACAAGCTTTACATTGCTATCGAGAGCTGACCTATTATAATCCTCTTCCTTTACTTGAAAGGAAGACAACATGGGGTAGTTGTTGTTATCGCAAAGTACCAACCAAGTTCAAAGGAAAATTATATTTCTATGACTAGCTATATATGACATCGAATGTTGGATTTTAATGAGACAGCGAGAGAAACAAGAGTAATAGAAATGAGTATATTTAGATGGATGTGACTACACAAGAAAGAAGAGGATAAGGAATGGTTTTATACAAGGAGATATTGGTGTCACACCTTTATAGGAAAAAATGACAGAAATATGATTAAGGTTACTTGGACATATGTGAAGAAAGGCTATTGAAGGAAATGGTGAGGAGAGTAAATAACATAATTTTAACCTGTATAAAGGATAGAGGGAGACCAAGAAAAAAATCGAAGAAAATTATTAAAAGGATTTCACAGTGAACAACAGTATGTTAAGAATTTTGAGAGTAACGTCATGTGATTTATGTAATCAACTTCACCCAATAAGTATTGTTATCGTAAAATTCCTTCTCATTTAGCATCTCATTGGTCATTTTTGAATAAAACGTCTCCATCTTAACACTTGAACATTTATTTTAGCCGATAATCAATAGCCTTCGTAAACTTGTTTCCTGAAGGTATTGAAGAAATGTATATTCCCGATATTTCATTTGTCTCAATTCAATTCAACCCTCCACTTTGTAAACTCCGCAAGAATAACCTGTATAAGGGTTCAATTGAGTAAACAACTTAATGAAGTACTTATTCAACAAACTCATAAAATCAGAGCTTATACATAAGGCTTAGTCATGAAGCTTGGAATAAGCTCAAAAATCTTATAGGAAAGCCGTAAGCCATTCTGACAAGTTCAAATTAGCTTTTCCAAATGTCACCTTCTAACTTCCTATAGCAAAATAGTGCAGAGTTTGCATCAACCCTTTTTTCTGGCCATCTCTCCCTTCCCAAACCTGAAATTTTCAATGGAGCAAACTTTTCCAACTTCTTTGGAAGGCATTAGTAAATCATACCGGGCATTCTGACCCTTACATAACAGCTTCATATGGAAGTTATCTCGCTGTAAGATTTAACTCTTCTGTTTGATGTTTAAGCTGTTCGCCTATCACTATGATTTTGTGTAAAACAATAAAATGTTTGCCTTTTACCAAATATCTGAAATCGACACTACTTTTTGTTTGCATTTTTTAATAGTTGTTTTGTTTGTTACTAGTTCATTCAGCTGCTAGCCTGTTGCATTACATAGAATATTCTATTTCCTTCAATACACTTCCTCTTTTTCTACTTAATTTTTTTTCTTAATAAGTTATTTCTTATCTCCAGAATGGGACCAAAGACTCCCTCAGTAAGCTTGTCTCTGACTTGAACAGTGCAACATTGGAGCCGGATGTTGGTAAGATTAGAAGATATATTTAATTTTCAATTTGATGACGTGATTCCAGTTCAAAGTTGTAGTAAACAATGAAAAACATATTTTCTTCCTTTTGACTCCAATAAAAGAATATCATTTACCGAGATTGGAAATGGCCTTTTCCCTATGTTAATACATTTCAGGTTAGCAATATGGTGACGAAATATAAATATCTATACCCTATATTACGTTATACCTTGGAGTGTTGTTCAACATATGGGTGTAAGCGGAACCTTAGTATCAGAATGAACTGATTATCAAAAGAAGAAAAAAGTGGTATTTATTTATGTGGTTTATAGAATTATACTAGAAACGCATTCTTAATAACATTTGTTGTTTGTCAGTTATTTTGTCTTTTAATCCTGTTTTCTAACCATTTTAATTTTTACGAGAAGTATAGACGTTGTTGTTGCACCGCCCTTTGTGTACATCGATCAGGTGAAAAACTCAATTACGGATAGAATTGAGATTTCTGCCCAGAATTCTTGGGTGGGAAAAGGTGGGGCTTTCACTGGCGAAATCAGGTTAGCTTGCCTATTCCTGTTAAGTTTCACAAGTTAATTGATCCTGGAACTTCTGTTTTCTTTATGGAGAATGTTAAGCCTAGTTGCTGGTGATGACAGATATAACACTTGAATAGATTTTTTTAACTTAAAAATATAATAACTGGAAACTGAATTTGTAGCTAAAATGTTTATGTTCTCTTAATGGTACTTGTCTTCAAAATCTGAATGCAGTTCTTTAGAAAATTGTTTATTTTACTTCTTGTATTTGGTCATGAGCCATATCTGTGAAAAGCTTAAGCAATTAAGTGAAGCCTCATGAATAGATTTTATATATAATAACTATATTATAGGTATTATGTCAGAGACCAAAGTGACCATAAGATTTTCTTGTCTCTCCCTCTCCCTCTTTTTGTTATCTCCAGTTCCGTTTGAGCAAGAAGGTTTCTGTATATGATTGATTTTGAATTTCCAACCTTACATAATCTTTTACTCATGATTGTTATATTAAGCTGAATATATTTTTGGGGCAGATTTGGCTATTTGTTTTATATTGTAATTTATATTTTGTAATTTATTTCTGAAAATTGTATCTGTCTTGTAGAAAGTGAATGTCATAAGTCATAATACTTTTGGCATCACGGACTCTTGGCACTGAAATTTCACTTTAGGAGTTTTTTGAAGAGATAAGTGTAACAGATCCCCTGAAACCCCAAAAAAAAAAAAATCTCTTTAGTTACATGGTCAAACCATAATCAACATGTTCTATTATTCCTTTTGATTATTTCATAAAAACAATTGCATTATGAAATACTACATATTTTTGTGCATATTATATATTACCTTCTATGAACTTACATTTCCCTAGATCCTAACTGCACCTTACTGTTTAAGTAGGCATGTATCAGTGCGTCATATTAATTTTGAGATTTTTCACGTATAAGTTCTCTTATGGTCCAGCCAGTGGTTCATTTCAAGCTTAACATTCTTCTTTCCCCCCTAAATGTTTTTATGGTGGAAGTTACCTGTTCACTTTCTTTTTATTACTGTTTTGAATATGATGTTCAAGCCAATTATATTGTTACCTTGTGGTTCTTTGAACAAGTTCACTTGGTTACACCAATTTTTTTTCCTCAAATCTGACACTTCTAGCGTTGAACAATTAAAAGACCTCGGCTGCAAGTGGGTTATTCTTGGACATTCTGAGCGAAGGCATATAATTGGAGAAAATGATGAGGTGAAAAATTTTGTTGATAATTTCTATAGTAGTTTTCCTAGAGATCAGCATTCTTTGTTCAAGATGCAAATGTATAATATATTTACTGAATACTGCAAACTCCAGTTTATAGGTAAGAAGGCTGCCTATGCTTTGAGTGAAGGTCTTGGTGTGATAGCATGTATTGGGGAACTGTTACAAGAAAGAGAAGCTGGGAAAACTTTTGATGTTTGTTTCCAGCAACTGAAAGCTTTTGCAGGTGAAAGTTTATATTTATTATTTTATCTAAAATGGGTCTATTGTTACACTATAAACAATAAGAAATCATGTAGGTATTATAAAAATCAATAAACTTACCATATGTGACAATTTTGATTGAATGTCAGTGTAAAAATTCTTACACTATCGGTACACAGACCATATACTCTATTTTTAATCAATTTGAAAGTCATTTTGTTTTTATGTGGAGAAAAGAATAAGAGGGGGAGGTGATTGCAGATTTATTCCATAACATCCTTTATGTCCATTATGTGCAGATGCAGTGTCAAGTTGGGATAATATAGTCATTGCCTATGAGCCTGTATGGGTAATTGGAACTGGCAAAGTGGCCACGCCCGAGCAAGCCCAGGAAGTCCATGCAGCTGTACGTGATTGGCTTAAAAAAAATTTCTCAGTTGAAGTTGCGTCTAAAACGCGAATTATTTATGGAGGTACATTTCTTTGTAATTATGCATGTTAGTGTCATAGGAATTTAAGATTCAGTTAATATGATTGGAAGTTTGTTTAAAGTAGTGTATTCTTTGGGATAAGAAACCACCTTTGCAATCTACCCTGGCCCACTACAAAAAGTATGCTGATATCATGCGTCACATTTCAGATTATTTGCTGTTTTGCTTACTTGCATTTTCTAGGTACAGGGCAAGTGAATTTATGAAAGATGATAGTTATTTAAATGGGAATTTAAACATAATCTGATGGAAAATGCATTGTTGCAATCAGGGAACTGGTTGTAATTTGTTGATTGCATTACATGATATAACTTTAGTTCATAGTTTAATTGAAAATTTTAGTTAGTCAGTGCAGTGTAGCAGTACGGTAGATATACTAACATAAAAGAAATCTGTCTTTCAGGGTCTGTAAATGCGAGCAACAGTGCTGAGCTCGCAAAGAAAGAAGATATTGATGGGTTCCTTGTTGGTGGTGCTTCGTTAAAGGTACCCTGTTTATTCGAATTTTCTTTAACCAGAATGTGCTTCATTCCTACAGTTTGTAAAAGAACTCTGATGATTGTTTATTAAAGTGTTCACTTTTTGCTGTGCAGGGTCCTGAGTTTGCTACCATTATCAATTCAGTCACATCCAAGAAAGTTGCGGCTTAACTACATATTATGATCTTCATTAAAAATGTGGAGATAACATGGTTACTCTCTGACTTTTACTTTTATCACTTTTATGGCTATGATGCATGCCGTTTAGTTTGGTACTTTAGTTTGAAGAAATAATCGTTTATTTTTGTCAGCACCTCGAGAGAGCTTTTAAAAAATAAACAATTATTTCTCTAAATTTAAGCATTTCTAAACGACCATTTGTCATGAGCTATGTGTTCTTGGAACAATTAGATATACAAAACACGTTAAAGTCAATAAATGTCCCTGAACTGTAGGATGCGTCACATCAATATGAAACATAACCATGTAATGTGACAACAAAAAGAAAGAGAACCAACCAAGTAATAAGTTAATGGATCAACACCAAATCATCACCAGAATAAATAAAAATCATTCACACACAAGTGAATCATCGTCCCACAAAAGAACCTTCCATCTTTCCCTTTTCTTTGATGATAATTATTTTAACTCTGACTGGTGAAGCTAACAAAAACCAACTCATAAAGAAACCCAGCAAGCCCACCGCCCACGAGAGGCCCAACCCAGTAAACCCAATGGTTTTTCCAGCTCCAGCCCACCAGTGCAGGCCCAAAAGACGCAGCCGGGTTCATGGAGGCCCCATCCAAAGGCCCAGCCACCAAAACATTTGCTCCAAAAATGAAGCCAATTACAAGTGGCGCTATCGCTCCCAAACTATTCTTTCTGCTCCTGGGGTCAACGGTGGTAGCATGCACCGCGTACACCAGTCCAAACGTCATCACCATCTCCAAAACCACCGCCTTTCCCTCTTTCACACCACTCGAAAGTTCAAAAACTGGTACTCCCTGCCAGGCACCGTGACAAAACTCAATGACAGACTAAAAGAAACTTAGGTTTTACTCCTCACAATGGGCTGATAATTCATACACTAGGCAATTTCATATATGATTTTATCGATATATAATCTTATTTTAATTGAGTTTGTTTTTGGAAGTTTGATCAATTTCTTAAATGAATCTCAACTAATTCAAGAAATTAATATGACTATTGAAAAGTAACGTTCAAATCTCATATTAAAGAAATTATTTATTTGTGCATAATAGGATTGTTGCTAAACATAGATATATGTTTGAAAGAAGAAATTCAGTAACGGTTATTGCAACGGTACCTGTCCGCCGATGGTGAATTTGAGGAGCAAGCATGCGAAGATGGAGCCGAGGATCTGAGCGATCCAGAAGAGAATGCAGCGGAGCAAGGTGAGGTTGCCGCCGATGAAGGCGCCGAAGGTGACGGCGGGGTTGACGTGGCCGCCGGAGACGTTTGTGCTGACGGAGACGGCGACGAAGAGGGCGAAGGCGTTGGCAACGGCAACGATGACGAGAGCGGAGGGCGCGTCGACGGGGAGGTTTTTGACGGCGATGGTGGAGCCGGAGCTGGCAAAAACGAAGATGAGTGTGGAGATGAATTCGGAGAGAGCGGCTTTGAAAGTGTGGCGGTGAGTGGCTTCTCGGGTCCCACGGATGCTGCTGCGGAACGCCATTGTCCGTGAGATGAAGATCCAACGGTGATGTATGAATGTAGTGGCAGTGGGGAAGGTGGGGAAGGTGGTGAGGACTCAGATCAGTTTCATGGTGTTGACTATATTGAGAGTGATGATCAGTGGAAGACACAGGCTGTAGTCGGTTCCGGCACGGTTGTAAGTCAATGCTGGGTCTTTTCCAAGCTTGAAGAGGACTTTGTCATTTTGCAGTTAAAACACATCTGGGCTTTTCTCTACGCGACAAAAGTAATTTATGTAGAGAAAATAAATGAAAAAGAATTATACAAGACGGAAAAATTATTCCACTTATTTTATTAATGATTTTAAGGAATAAGGACGTAATAATGAATCTAAATATTAAAGGAAAATATTAAGATGTTTAAATACAAGTTTAGTTTCCCAACTTGTATTTACGATAATAATAATAATAACAATACGAATTATTTGTTTTAAACTTTTAATTCATTATCATTGTATTATTTGTTTTAAAGTTTTAATTCATTATCATTTTATTTTTAAAAATATATTTGTAGATTGAAAAAAATAAATATATATAAATTATTTTTGATTTTGATTTTGATTTTGGATTAATATAAATGTATACAAATATTTTTTTAATCAAGGATTAATGGATTAAAATGAGATTTTATTTTCATGAACATTAATATTTTATTTAAAAATAAGAGTTTCTTAATTATTATTAAGATTAATTATCGTACTCTATTGTACGTAATAAATTATAATATACTTACGAATTTTATATCGTCTAAGAGTTAATTACTTTATATACAATATTTTATTTTAACCCACCCATATCTTTTTTAAGAATAAATATACTATAAATTAAAGTAGGCATGACAATGGGGCTGGGCGGGCGGGTTTTGCCTCCCGTCTCCGTCCCGACTTTTTTAACCATCTCCGCCCCGATCCCCGTCTGAGTTAGAATTAAGTCCCCATCCCCGTCACCGTTGGGTTTCGAGTTTCGCCCCGTTCAGTCCCCGATTTATATTATTTTTAAAAAAATAATTATATTTATAATAAATTAATTTTACTATGTATTTTTATATATAAATAAATATTTATAATTTATAATTATTATTAATTAAATATACATTTTAATTTATTATATTTATATTAAAATATATATGTAAAAGAAATATTTAATTATTTTTTATTTATATATATATCTAATATTTATAACATTATTATTATTATTATTATTATTATTATTATTATTATTATTATTATAATCACTTGTATTCAAATATTTGAATATTTATAACATTATTATTATAATACTGTATTCAAATATTTAATTATACATATAAGTTAATTCATTTTTAAGTTGTCAATATATAGTTTATAAGAAAATATTTAATAAGTTAATTCTTATTTAATTAGTTTGAAGTAATAAAAGTTTAAATTATTAATTTCTTTTAATCCTTTAAAATGCAATTATTTTATTAAGATAAAATTTGATATATGATAAATAAGCATAATAAGATAAAAAAATATGACATAATAAATATAAATTATAAATAAACTAATATTAGTTACTACTAAGATTGATGTAAAATATTTAGAAAAAGATAAAGAAAAAAGATTAACTTTGTATTCATCAAATTGGTTGAAAAGATTGAAAAAAAAAACAAATTGATGGGAGAGACTAAGAAAATGTGAAAAACTGAAAGATAAGGTAGAGAATAATATAATAAATTAATTGATATAAAAGATTGAAAAAGATAAAAAAAATTAAAAAGTGGGTAGAAGAAAAATAAAAATTGGTGAAATATAAAAAAATAACCTTATATGTAATAGAAAAAGAAAATGAAATACTTTTAAAATATTAATATTTTAAAATTTAAATTTAAATATAAAGTCGGGACTGGGACGGGACGGGGTGGGGTCGGGGTGGGGATTGCATTACCCATCCCCATCTCCGCCCCGACTTTTTAAAGCGGGAAAACCCGAACCCGACCCCTCCGCCGGTCAACTCGGGTTTTTCCAGTCAAACTCGGAGCGGGAACATGTCGGTCCCACGGTTACGGGTTTAATTGTCATCCCTATATTAAAGTTTCAAAAACAATATATCAAATATAATAATAAATTCTTACAGATATTATTGCAATGATAAAACACTCTTAAATAGAATAATTTTCATACAAATGATTCATAAATATAAATTATAACTTTATTTCTTCTAGAGAAAAATTTCTCTATCAACATTTTTAACAATAAAAAAATAATTAACGAAATAAACTTACAAACATAAATTAAATCTTATATAAGATAATTTATAAAAATTCTCTCATATAACACTTTTTTGCTTTTATATTTCTCTTTTAAAAAGTATTTATAAAAAAACTTATCAAAAAAATTCTTTGTCTTTTACAACTTTGTCTACTGATATTGTCATAATTAAATATATTTATTAGTGTTTTAAAACTAAGTATCTTAGTGGTAGATTTTATTTTGAAATCTAACATTATTTTTTTTAGTGGGTCTCTCGATATTACGAAAGAAGATTTTATTTAATTTTTTCTTAATCATAAATTTTATTATGAGATCTGACTAGTTTGAAAAATTAAGATATATAATTTTCAAATTATTTTTTTATAAATCTTTAGAGTTTTTATAAAACTATGAAAATCTAAACACATCTTTCAAATAATAGATCTTATATTTAACATATAATAATAAATTGTTGCTATCATTATAATATTTCACTTTACGTTATTGATTCATACATCTATTATATATACTTTCAAAAACAAATTTTTTGAACTAGTCAATATAGTAATTTAAAGTTCAATCGTTTAATAAATATATTTTAATACATAAAAAATACATAAAATGATATTAAAAATGTAATATCATAATTTTATTATGCTGAAAATTAAATAAAACACAAATTTATATGTTATTAATATTTAATAAAACTTATTTAGTTTTATATTTTAAAATTAATTTTCATAAATATTTATTTAAGATTTATTAAATATTTTTTAAAATAAAATAAGAGAGGTTAATATATTTATTAAAAGCATAAAAAAATGAGTGTTATTGATTAAAAATATAAATTAGATGGATATCATTTATTAAAAATAAGTGAGGTGAAAGTTCATTCTAAAATTATAAGATATGTGGTTAGCGGAAGAACAAACATCCCGAACGTATTAAGAGGAAGAGATAATATTATAGAGATACAATATTTAAAATAGTAATTGAAGTTTGTTACGCTAATTAACCTAATTGAAACAATGATTACAACATAATTGTTAAATTATTATTTAACACAATCCCCTAATTTAGCAATTGATTTAATATTCAATTTTTTTCTTAATAATTTGAAACTTCGATTGTTTAAAGGTTTTATCATAATGACCACTCGTTGCTCCTTCGTCCCACAATGCTCAACCCTAAACTTTTTCTTCCTTACTTCATCTTTGATGAAATGAGATCTCAATCTTATATGTTTGTTTCTATCATGATGAATTGAATTTTTTACTAAATTGATGACTGACTTATTGTCAATCTTTAGTATCGTAGTCTTCTCTGGTCTTTTAAAGACTCGATTAACCAAACTCTTAATTTACAGTGCTTGACAAGCTATATAAGTAGTAACCATGTATTCAAGTTTCACAAGAGGAGAGTATCACAATAGATTGTAAATTCGAGCACCATGAAATTGGTGATTTTCCTAATAAGAATACATAACTTAATGTGTTTCTGAAATCAACTTTATCTCTAACCTAGTTTGAATCAGAATATCCAATAAACTCTTCTCTATTCTGATGTGTAGCATTTGGTAATATAATACCAAAATCAATCATCCTTTTAATATACCTCATTACTCTCTTAGTTGTTGTAAGATGAGATGTTTTGATTTTTTCATAAATCTACTAAACAACCCAACATCAAAGCAGATATCCGGTCTACTACAACAAAAGTATATTAAGCAGTCAACCATTTGTTTATAAACAGTAGCATTTACAGGTTTTCCATCTTCATCTTTGTCAAGTTTCATATTTGATTCGACTAGTGTAATTGTTGCACTACACTCATTCATTCTAAATTTCTTGAGCATATTTACTTTGGTAAATCAAAACACTTTTTTTGCCTTCGATGAATTCCATTCCCAGAAAATATGTCAGTTTTCCTAAATCGGTCATTTCAAACTGATCTTGTATCTTCTTTTTAAAATTATCGATCAAAGTAATTACTAAATGTAATAAAAAAATTATCTACATATAAACAAACAATTAACACGTCATCTCCTTCGATCTTGAAGTAAATCACATACTCAACTTCACACTTCAAGAATCCTTGTTGTCGAAGATAACCATCTATTTTTGTGTTTTAGGCTCTTGGGGCCTTCCCAAGCCATTCATTGCATTCTTTAATCTAGTAACCTTTTGTTCTTCTCCATTAATCACAAACTTGGGTGGTTGTATAACATAAACTTCTTCCTCCAATTCACCATTCAAAAATGCAGATTTTACATCCATTTGATGCATCTACCGCCCTTTATAATGGTAATAGCTACAACTGTTCTTATCGTCTTCATCCTGGCAGCAGGTACATACACTTCTTTGTAGTCTAAACCTTTTCTTTGTAGAAAGCCTTTCGTCACAAGTCTAGTTTTATGTCTTGCAACTGTTCAATCCGGTTTTAACTTCATTTTGTACACCCATTTTACTCCAATTGGTCTTTGATTCTCTAGGATATCAGTTAATTCTCATGTTTTATTCTTCTTGATTGCCAACAATTCCTCTTTCATGACTTCGATCCACTTGGGATCCTCGATCGCTTCTTCAAAGCAAATTGGTTCAGGCTTAACATCAACATACAGTGCTAGATGTACAATATTATTCTCTTCTTTTATTTCTTCAATCATCTGTTCGGATGTGGTGGTCGTATCAATGGAATTAATAACATAATCATTGAGTCTCACTAGTGTTTTAATCGATCTTGTAAGTCAATTTCTCCTTCTTTTGATTATAGAAATTGGTCAATTTCTATCTTTTTCGATTTCTGATGTCGATCAATTTCCACCATATTCAATTTCAGAAGTTGATCGTGTTAGAATCGCGCAGCAGAATGTTCGCGTGGTCGGACAAAAACCAAGAGGGGGGGTGAATTGGTTTCTTAACAAAAATTAGGTTTTCAAAATTTTTCCCAAATTTTACCGATTAAAAAGTTGTGTAAACGTAAATAAGATAGAGATAGAGTCTTACACAGGAGAT